AGATCACATACAATGTATTCCTCATCCGACCCCGAGAGAGAAACAATGTTACTGTGCCGACAATGTACGCAGCACATGCACATCATTGCCCTCCCTCCAGGAGTGTCTCTGCGTTGTATATGAGTGTCTCTGCGTTGTATATGAGTGTCTCTGCGTTGTATGTGAGTCTGTGCGTTGTATGTGAGTGTCTCTGCGTTGTATGTGAGTGTCTCTGCGTTGTATGTGAGTGTCTCTGCGTTGTATGTGAGTGTCTCTGCGTTGTATGTGAGTGTCTCTGCGTTGTATGTGAGTGTCTCTGCGTTGTATGTGAGTGTCTCTGCGTTGTATGTGAGTGTCTCTGCGTTGTATGTGAGTGTCTCTGCGTTGTATGTGAGTGTCTCTGCGTTGTATGTGAGTGTCTCTGCGTTGTGTGTGTGTGTCTGTGCGTTGTATGCGAGTGTCTGTGCGTTGTATGCGAGTGTCTCTGCGTTGTATGCGAGTGTCTCTGCGTTGTATGTGAGTGTCTCTGCGTTGTGAGTGTCTCTGCGTTGTATGTGAGTGTCTGCGTTGTATGTGAGTGTCTCTGCGTTGTGTGTGTGTGTCTGTGCGTTGTATGCGAGTGTCTGTGCGTTGTATGCGAGTGTCTGTGCGTTGTATGCGAGTGTCTGTGCGTTGTATGCGAGTGTCTGTGCGTTGTATGCGAGTGTCTCTGCGTTGTATGTGAGTGTCTCTGCGTTGTGAGTGTCTCTGCGTTGTATGTCAGTGTCTCTGCGTTGTATGTCAGTGTCTCTGCGTTGTGTAGTGTTTATTTTGTATTACAGGTATTTACGCAGCACTTTACATAGTTGCACATTCAGATCAGTCCCCGCCCCCAAGGAGCTGACAGTCTAAGGTCCCTATCTCACATACATACATAGAGGGCCAATTTCCCTTCCAGCGTGTCTTTGGAGCGTGGGAGGAAACCCACACAGCACAGGGAGGACATGCAAACTCCATGCAGATAGTGACCTGACTGGGATTTGAACTGGGGACCCCCAGACAGAAGTTCCAACCACTACACCACTGCGCTGCCCCAGCGTTGTCTCTCCGTTGTACCAGTGTCGCCTCTGCGCGGTGCGAGTGTCGCCTCTGCGCGGTACGAGTGTCGCCTCTGGGAAGGGTACGAGTGTCGCCTCTGCGCGGTACGAGTGTCGCCTCTGCGCGGTACGAGTGACGCCTCTGCGCGGTACGAGTGACGCCTCTGCGCGGTATGAGTGTCGCCTCTGCGCGGTACGGGCGTTGTCTCTGCGCGGTACGAGTGTCGCTTCCCTTTGTAGTCCTCTGTGTTTGTCTTGTACATGAAGTGCTCCTGTGATCGGGCGGCTTTGTGTGATAATCGGCACTAATCTCCTCTAATCCTCTGTGATCTCTGTGGATGAGGCCACCAGCCGAGCCCCCCCTCCCCCCCCGCAATCTGATCCGACTGCTCCCATCACAGCCGGAGTCATTGTGTACCATACGGGGGACACTCAGAGCGGAGCAGAGGTGGTGCTCTCCTGCCCCCGGGGAGGTCAGAGACGAGGGCTGGGTCTGGAGGCGGTCAGAGACATGAGAGGGTTTCATAGATTGAAGCTGTTCTATGTGATCATTATGTGCGCTGCATGAAATCTGACCAATCCAGGTGCGGCTCGTCTTTTGGTCCCGACACAGCTTGGTCAGAGACACGCCCTGCCTGCTGATTGGACAATGAAGGAATAGCAGAGGAGCAATGATGAGCTACCGCTGGCGGCCACATCTATGGCTGACCGCCGTCCCTGTCTGCTGCTGTCCAGGGGGATGTATGATGAGGCAGAGTTCCCCTTTAATGAGTGAGCAGATCTATAGACATTCAAATCCTGCATTTGGCTCCGCCCCTCCCACCTTTTCAGCCTCCCTATTGGTCAGTGAGGCCACCTGTCACTTTAAAGCACCAAAAGGCAGGCTCTAGGGGGGGTGGGGCCAATCACGACTTTTACTGAAAAAGTCAAGATTTGCATATAACTTCTGCTGCCTGTATTGTGGGATCTGCTGGTTGGCGAAGGTGACCTCTGTTCCTGATGTATCCCATCCTGTGGCCGGTCCAATCGCACTTTTCTATGGGCGGCTTTCATCTCCTCTATGGCGTCTATGGGAGGCGCTCAATGACGCTACGAGCTGCGCCGCGCTGATGGTTCACTCCAATCATAGTGGGAGCAGTGTAGTCCCTGCGTGTAGTCCCTGCGTGTAGTCCCTGCGTATAGTCCCTGCGTGTAGTCCCTGCGTATAGTTCCTGCGCATAGTCCCAGAACCCCAGTGCTGCACCATATATATATAGAGGGTATATAGGATGTATATAGAGGGTATATAGGATGTATATAGAGGGTATATAGGATGTATATATATATATAGAGGGTATATAGGATGTATATATAATGTGTGTATATATATCTATAGCTATATATATAGATACAGATACATATACTGTAGATAGAGATATATCTATCTAGATAGATAGATAGATAGATAGATAGATAGATAGATAGATAGATAGATAGATAGATCTCTCTATATATATATACAGTTATACACTATATTACCAAAAGTATTGGGACACCCCTCCAAATCATTGGGTTCAGGTGTTCCGTGACATTTCCTTGCTACTAAATATTCCGCGGTCACCTGTTAGTGGTATTACAACAAAGTGGAAGCAACTGGGAACAACAGCAACTCAGAATAGGATGTATATAGGATGTATATAGAGTGTATATAGGATGTATATGGACATATTTATACACATGAAGAAATATTACACCAATAAATCAATATAAAGATGAGAAAATCCGAACTCAATAATGATAATATTGGGGGGGAAACGCGGAATCATTTACTGATCAATATCCTGAGACCGATCAATACATAATGATTGATCAGATTTTATACAATGTTATCTCTTTGTATTTGGATCTCTCTCCTCTCCTCCCCCCCTCTATTCAATTACGCTTTATGAGCAGGACCGCATACATGTTTTATGGGATGGGGTGCTGGGCGGGGTAATAGAACATTATTGGGGGAAAGGGTAAGTCCAGGGACATTATCAGGGGTAAGAGATATTCTCTGTCTCTTCTCTCTCTCCCCCTCTCTTCCCTTTCCCCCCTCCCTCTCTCCTCTTCTCTCTCTCCCCCTCTCCTCACTCTCTCCAATCCTCGCCGGTCATGTTCTCTCCACAAGTAGCGCTGGGTGAGAATCGCAGAGGATGCCGCACTCTGCGCCAGGACAGAGACTCTCTTTATGGGTGGCACGGAAACGTAATTTACTGCCGCTCACAGGTCCCTAGATGCGGCGGCTGCATTCCTTTTCTCTTCTTCCCCCCTTGTGATTCTGCCAGTAACACACTTCCTGTCATAGGGTGACAACGTTCACTGTACTGTAAATTGATCTGTGTAGTAATCGCATTGTTCCCCGCAGATATGGAGTGCGGCGACGTGCCCCTGCTGACCCCCAGCAGTAAGGAGATGATGTCGCAGGCTCTCCGCGCCACCTTCAGCGGCTTCACCAAGGAGCAGCAGCGCCTCGGCATCCCCTTCGGTGAGTTCCCGTCGATGGATACTGAACATCCTCTTTCTTTCATGAAGCACGTTGCCTGTGTGAGAAGCCTCCGGGGGAAGCTTCTATTCCCTCATTCTCAGGCTGCATGCACCGCCTCCGCTCTCAGTAGTTCAGCTTCAGTATGCAGAGCCAGTGCGCAGTTAATGAGTTGGATAATAAGAGGCTTCTATCTGAAGCTTCTCACACAGGCACCCCTGCTTAGTGGCACTTCCTGTCACCGTTTGGCTTTGCCGTCCCCTATCGGTGGCGCGGTCTTTGCATTTCGCGCCCTGACCAGTTTGTCGCACTTTTTCTCTCTCTCTCTGGCAGATCCGCGGGAGTGGACGGACGCTCATGTCAGGGAATGGGTGTCGTGGGCGGTGAACGAGTTCACGCTGAAGGGGGTGGAGCTACAGAAGTTCTGCCTGAGCGGAGCGTCGCTGTGCGGCCTGGGGAAGGATCGCTTCTTGGACCTGGCACCGGACTTCGTCGGCGACATCCTGTGGGAGCACCTGGACATCCTGCAGAAAGGTGACGCGGGTCAGGGGTCACGGGGCTCGCTTTGTACTGTAGATGTTGCAGCGGCTTGCTTGTGCTTTTCCCGTGAAAGGCCGTCGCGGTTCGCTCTGTGATAACGTGCGGTGATTGTGGAACTACAAGTCCCAGCACACTGGAGAGTAGGGATGCACCCATACTAGTATCAGTATTGGTGCCGATACCGAGTATTTGGGCTGGTACTCGCCCAAATGCTCCGATACCTAGCACAAGTACTTCCTGTATCAGGAAGTCGGGCAGCGCGTCAAAACACGGCGCCCGGTTTCCTGATTGGCCGGTTAAGCAGCTCCATGCTCTCTCCTCACTTGTGAGGAGAGAGCATGGAGCCGGCTTCCCGGCCAATCAGGAAGCAGGGCAGCGTGTAATGATGCAGTGCCCGGCATTCTGATTGGCCGGAAAGCCGGCTTCATGCTCCCTGGTCACCTCATGACGAGGGAGCATGGAGCCAGCCTCACGGCCAATCGGAAAACAGGGCGCTGCATTATTACACGGCGCCCGGCTTCCTGATTGGCCGGCCAGACGGCTCCGGCTGGGTACCGGAGGAAGGCCGCGTTCTGGCTGGAGAGGCCCCGGGGGTGACGGGCTGGACATGCCGAGGTAAGAGGGGACGTTCTTGTCAATCGGGAAGCCGGGGGGCGGGTCTTTACAGGCCACCCGGCTTCCTGAATGGGACTTCCGGTACTCAGTAATTGGTATCGGCGAGTACCGAAAAACAATTATCGGTACTCCTACTCGGTACCAAAATACCGGTATCGGTGCGTCCCTACTGGAGAGCCAAGGGGGCCGGACATTCATCTCATTCCTATGATGAGAAGTGATTGAGGGGAATAAACACGGCTGAGAAATCTGCCCAAAAGTTCTGCCCAAGGTTTGCCACCACTGCTGTAGGAGATGGTCAGAGACTGGAGATGCGTTGCATGGAACTGATAGAGATCACTGTTATTAAAGGAAGGCCCCCTGACAAACCAGTGCGCCCACTACTGACTAAGGATGGGCTCGGGCGTGATCGCAGCTCCACGTGCCGAGCCCACCAGGAAGCTGACAGCGCCGCAGCACCAATCACGGGCACCGAGACGTTTCCCGATCTCTGCAGCTGCGGACCGGGAAAATGTCTGAGTGCCCGTGATTGGCGCTGTCAGCTTCCTGGCGGGCTCGGCACGTGGAGCTGCGATCACGCCGGAGCCCATCCTTACTACTGACTGCTGGGCCTGATGGCAGCACTGCACAACACCATAGGGCTCCATGTGGTCCGGGGCCACAGGTTGGGCACCAGGGCTATACGGGGCGCAGAACATGGACCTGAACTAGACCATTCAGTGACAGCTCTGAGTTCTGTGCCACAATACACGGCTCCATCCAAGTAACCTGAACGCCCAACCAACCCCTTGGAGTACCGGAGTACCAACCCCTCAGAGTACCAACCCCTCAGAGTACCAGAGTAACGACCCCCCAGAGTACCAACCCCTCAGAGTACCAGAGTACCAACTCCTCAGAGTACCGACCCCTCAGAGTACCGACCCCTCAGAGTACCAGAGTACCAACTCCTCAGAGTACCAGAGTAACGACCCCTCAGAGTACCGACCCCTCAGAGTACCGACCCCTCAGAGTACCGACCCCTCAGAGTACCAGATTACCTACCCCTCAGAGTACCAGAGTACCAACTCCTCAGACTACCAACCCCTCAGAGTACCAGAGTAACGACCCCCCAGAGTACCAACCCCTCAGAGTACCAGAGTACCAACTCCTCAGAGTACCAGAGTACCGACCCCTCAGAGTACCGACCCCTCAGAGTACCAGAGTACCAACTCCTCAGAGTACCAGAGTAACGACCCCCTAGAGTACCAGAGTACCAACTCCTCAGAGTAACGACCCCCCAGAGTACCAACCCCTCAGAGTACCAGAGTACCAACTCCTCAGAGTACCAGAGTACCGACCCCTCAGAGTACCAACCCCTCAGAGTACCAGAGTACCAACTCCTCAGAGTACCAGAGTACCGACCCCTCAGAGTACCAACCCCTCAGAGTACCAGAGTACCAACTCCTCAGAGTACCAGAGTACCGACCCCTCAGAGTACCAACCCCTCAGAGTACC